GGAAGCGGGCCGGCGTCCGCAGCTCACCTTGCGCGCCGCCGCCCACAAAATATTTGTGATTCAGAATAAGAACCATTTTGTTTTCTTGACAGTAATTCAGTGAAATAAATAGAAAAATCTTCAAGAAAGCAAATACTTAAAAAGTGAGGCAGGCTTAATGCAGAAACGTCAGGAATAAGATTATATAAGTGTTGAAAAATAATCCACCAGAGAGAAATCCAACTTTTTGTTGAGAGTGCAAAACAAAAGAAGAGTTTATTAATAGAAGAAACAGATACAAAGCCAGTCTGAGGACTGAAAACTATTAAGACTTTGCTTTTTAATTTTTAAATTTTTTTAAAGAGAATAAAAAATGGCAACTAAATTAGAAACAATACAAAATTTCACTAAACAAAATAATAGGAATTCAACAATGGTTGTTATGTTGCATAACATTGTCTTCAAATTGGTTCTTTAGATTACCAGATATAAGCACACAAAATTGGTCCAAAAAGTTCTAAAACATTTAAAAAAGGAAGAAAAAATATTTAAGCATTAACTGGTTTCAATAGACCAGCAGAAATCAGCAGTACAACTATACAAGTTATCCTGTATATATACATAAATATATCTTTTCCCTTCCTTCTTTCTTTTCTTTGTCCCTTTCGTCATTCCAGTTCTCCCTTCCCTTGGGATAGATTCTTTCTCTTTCACAATATCTATTGTAGCTCTCAGATTTTATTTATTCGTTCAGTCTCTTACACTAGTGAGACAATATGATGTTTGCACGTGTGGGTCTGATTTAATTTATTTATGAGTATGGTGCCTAGCTGCATCCTTTTGCCTGTAAAAATCTTAAATTTTTCTTTTTTTATAGTTGAGTAATACTCCATTGTGTAAAATACTACATCTTTTTTTTAATCCATTCTTTTGTTGATGGACAAGGGGATTGTTTCTAGGATTTAGCTATGACAAATTGTACTGCTCTAAATGTGTACGCATGTGTTGTTGTGGTATGATGCTTTCAGCTCTTCTGGAAAAATATGGAGAAAGTGAATAGCTGGGTCAAATGGGACCTGTCATCCTAGATTTTTGAGGAATCTGATTTCCATAGAGGTTGGACAAGTTTCATTTTATTTATTTTAAAAAATCTTTTTATTTTTAATTTTTATTAGTATGTGTTTTAAACACATAGTTACTGTACTCATTCCATGGAGTGGGAACAAGGACATAACACATCTAAATTCTTTTATGTCTTTTCCCCCTCCCTTTCTTCTCAACTACATTTTCCCCCTACCTTCCCTCCATCTCTTTTTTCCTCCTATCTATCTTTTATTTTGCTATTTATTTATTTATTTATATTTTGGGTTTTTTTCATATAAGAAAAACAGTGTGATATTTAAACTTGTGTTTAATTTACTCTACTTAAAATTATGGTCTCAAGGTACATGCATTTTCCTACAAATAACTCAAGTTCATCCTTCTTTATAGCACAGTAGTACTTTGTTGTGTAGAAGCACCACATTACCTTTATCTACTCATGTGTTCGTAGACACACAGGCCCCTTCCAAGGGTCAGCGGTTGTGACTGTCCTGCTGCAGCCACACGTACACATGTGTTACTGGAATATGTTGTCTTTGACTCTTTCCATAATGCATTTATGAAGGGAATAGCTGGGAATTCCTTTTTTTATTTATTATTCTTATTCTTACTATTCTTGTGTTTAGTACAGGGTTTACAGGGTCTCACTACACAGATCAGACTGCTAGTTATTCTCCTGTGGTTGGCCTCCCATGCTGGCATTACAAGTGTGTGCCACCAAGCCCCATCTCAGTTTGTCTCAGGATGCCCCGGGGGCGGGGCCGGCTCAGCAGGCAGGGTCTTATTTTAGATTTCAAGAAATCACCATAGCAATTTACATCATGGTTGTAGCCCTGTATCTCTGGAACAACATTGAAGAAGAGTGTCTTTTTCCTCACAGCCTAACTAGTATTTGTTGCTGTCTGATTTCTCCATGACAAAGATTCTATGTGTTGTTTTAATTTGCATTTCTCTAACGGCCACAGATATTGAACATTTTTTCCAGTATTTATTGGCCAGTTTTATCTCTTCTTCTGAGAAATATTTGCCATTTCAGTTGTCAATGTTTTCATTAATCTTTTTATTTGGGAGAGACTTTTTTTTTAAAGTTTCTACACATTCTAGACATCAGATATTTTACATGTTTAGATATTACTCCTCTTTGAGGAGTAGCTAGAAGTCATTTTTTCCCCTTCTATAGGTTATCTCTTCACTGTGTTGGTTGTTTCTTGTGCTGTGCAGAAGCTTTTGAATTCAATATGATCCCATTTATTGATTGTTGCTGTTCTCTCTTTTGCAACTGGTATCAAGTTCAGAAAGTCCTTGCTTATACCTAAGTATTCAAAAGTTCTATGACTTTTATCTTTGAGCACATTATTTCTGTTTAATGTTGGGATCTTTGAATTGCTTTAATTTTACTTTAATACATGGTGAAGGACAGGGGTCTAGAATTGTCTGTATGTGCACGACCAGTTTTCCTTACCATTTGTTAAACAGGTGATCTTTCCTCCAGTGTAATTTGTTGGCCTGTTTGTAGAAGGTCAGAAAGCTGAGTGTGCTTGGAGTTGTTTCTGTATCCTCCAATCTGTTTTACTGACTCAGTGCCTGTCCTTATTTTGATTTCTGCCAGCACCTTGCTCTTTTTAATCCCTGTGCCCCTGCAGTGTGATGTGAAGACTAGAATTGTTATTCCTCCTACCTCACTCTGATTGCCAAGAATTGCCTTTGACATCCTACATCACCTCTGGATCCATATATATTTTAGGATTGTTTTCTCTAATTCTGTGAGGAACATGATTGGTATTTTGATTGGCATTGCACTAAATCTATATAATCAGTTAAATATGGTTATTTTTGACTATACTGATTATACCTACCCAGGAGCAGGGAATAACTTTCCATTTTCTTTTTTTTTTGTGGTGCTGGGGATTGAATTCAAGACCCCATGCTTGCCAAGCAAGTGCTTATTCTACTGAACTATCTTCCCAGGCCCTGACTTTCCATTTTCTGACGTGCTCTTTATTATCCTTTTCCAGATTATTGTAGTTTTCAAAGTAATTTAGTTTTCTTTTTCTTCACTAGGTTAATTCCTAAGTATTTCTCTTTTATTGATGCTCCTGTGAAAGATATTGTCTCCATAATCTCTTTCTGGTGAGTTTATTATTGGCGTACAGGAATGCTATTTATTTTTGTGTGTTGGCTTTGTATCCTGCTATGCTTTGGATAGACTGACTGAAATCAGCTGACACAGTTATGATGGCTAAGATGTCCCATACTCTGCTGTATGAATGCTGGAGGAGAAAGAAAAGACAGTGGTATAATTTAGTCTGTGTTTGAAGGCCTGAGGTGTGTCAATCTGAGTCCAAAGATGCGACAGCTAGAAATGCTAATGTCGAGGGACAGGAATTATACTTTTTAGCTCTGTCAGAGACGGTGAGTATAACTTTTCTCCACTCTTTGTTCTTTTTGGGAACACTGATGATTTGTGTGAAGTCTACTCACATTGAGTAGGGCCACCTGCTTTACTCAATTTTATAATTCAAATGCCAATCTGTTCTGGAAACACCCTTACAGGCATACCCAGAAGTAATGTTTTTACTAGATATCTGGTTATCATTTAGCCTACTCGAGTTGATACATCAAATTAATCATCATATTAATATGTACTGAAGGGTTTAGCCAAAGGAGTCTGCATAGGTTTTTTGAATTGGTTGCTTGCATTTTCATAGAACAGCCTAAAGACTGTTGTATAATGACCAAGGATAAGTTGGTTAAGTTATTCTGAAAGTAAATACTTATAGAGTATTTGATTGAAGAAAGCTGTTTTCCCATCTGCTTTCTATACTCGTGTGGCCCTGAACTTAATATCTCAAATAGAAAAATTCAACTTGGTTCAAGTTACATTGTGCAGAAAATGTTGATAGTAACCATTGTGTTTTCACTTTTAGTCTTTCATTTTTCTATCTAGATGGTCTTTGTCTTTATGTTAGGCAGCCTGAACCCACAGTTTCAGAGGAAGAGGAGCAGGTAGAACCATTCAAAACAAACTACTTGTTCACAGATTTTGAGTTTAAATTGCATGGTAGATATAGATGAAAGAACACACTGAAATATTGACAAGAATAAATGCTAATATAAGAGAGTACTTTCCTTTCCCAAGACTTGATAATGTTCTTGTGATGCAGACAAATTTGGAAAGGAAGGCAGCATATCAGATACTGCTTGAGGTCTCTGCACTTTCCTATACCTATCCCATGATAGTCTAAAGCCTGGGGCTGGGGATTTTAGAATTAAGGAGACATGTGCCTGACTTTCTTTGTGGTTACCCCCAGGTTCCACAGTCTTTATCCATGGAGCACAGTGTTGCCAGGAGAAAGCCCTCAGACAGATCCTTTTATCAAGAATGCTCACACACAGTGTTTGGAGGAGCCAAGTCTTGCACAAGCACAATGTGACACTGAGAGCACCCAGTTGTGGATAGAATTTGATCTGTAATAAGGGACCAACACTAGGAAGAAGCCCAGACAGGTAGGTGTTCTCAGCAGATGTGAGCACATGAAGCTTACATGAGCCAGGTCCAGGGCACTACATCTGACCAGAAACTGGTGTGGGTGAAGGAACAGGTACTTTGCTCTGATACCATGACACTAGTGAAACTGGAATTTAAGTCGGAGGACAGGGGGAAGAATTCTATGAGGCATTTACTCTGATTTAACTGAAAAGCACAAAATTAAATGGGTTTAACTTGAATTAATGAATTTAGGTTTTCACTGACCAAGTAGAGAAGAGCATAGAGTTGTTTCAGAAAAAGTACCCTATTTTTCTATAAACCTGCCTTAATATTTTGAACTTAAAGTATAGTCCATTTTCTCGTGTGTTATTAGTACCTATTAATTTTATAAAATGCTGAGTTTCAGTGCACGTAATATACTTTGATTATGTCTCCCTCCCTACTGCCTTCCTTCACCTCCTCTTCTTGTCTTTTTTTTTTTTTTTTTTTGGACGGCATACGAGATG